TTTTGTTTTTTTTTTTTTTTTTTTTTGGTGGAACCAGAATTTTTTTGTTGTTGTTGTTGCATTGTTTAAGCAGGAGGATCACTGTGAGTTCAAGGCCAGCCTGGGCTCCAGAGTGAACTGAACTGCAGTTCACTGAACTGCATAGCAAAACCCTGTCTCAAAAAGACAAAAAACCCTGCACTGCTCACTGACAAAGGATAGTATTTCCTCTAATCTCACCGGTTGGGGACTTGGGGAAATACTAGAGAAGCCACCAATGGTAGAGGGAACTGTCATGAACTGGTTCTCAGCGGTGTGGGGACTCCTGCCCAGATGTTCCTGGAGGTCAAGGTTTCTTATGATAAATAGAGATCAACAACAGATAATTCCAGGCCAGCCTGGACTGCATAGTGAGTTTAAAAGAAGCCTGAAATACCCCAAACTAAAACAAACAAAAAACAGGCAAAGCAACAATGTATGCAAAACAAGTATCTCCTAGGGGTACCATAGCACTTCTTTAGGTTAGGCACAAGAGATTCCTTGTCATATTTCTGTTACTTTTATGCTACAGAGTTACACCAATGTGGGGAGAGCCCATAAAGGAGCTATCTCACAAGGGAGACTGGGGGTGCAATTGGGGCCTGAGGATGGTGAAACCTTAAAAGAAATCCTTCTCATGAGAACGCCCAGGACCACTTGTATTGCGCTGAATACACCTGTGGAAGTCTCAGACTGGAAGCTGGAGGTTCCCTGTTTAGATTTTTTTTTTTTTTTTTGGTGTTTTAGGACATGGTGTACAGATATACAGGGTCTCACTGTGTAGATCAGACTCATAGTGATCCTCCTGTTTTTGTTTTTTTTTTGCGGAACCGGGGATTGAACTCAGGTCCTTGTGCTTGCCAGGCAAGTGCTTATTCTTTTGAGCCATCTCCCCAGTCTCCATGGTGTAATCAGTAATGGACTACAAAAAGGTATCTGCCTCCCTAGCTCCTCACTCGGCTTCTGTGCCTGCTGAGCCCCTGAGCCTCTGGATGCTCTGTCCCAACAACAAAAAGCTACAGGAGGTCCCAGGAAAGGTACAGAGGCCTCAGGCCTCCGGAGCTATTTTAATTCTGACAAAGTCAAGCCAGGTGAGGTAGTGCATGCCTGTAATCCCAGCATTGGGGAGGCTAAGGCAGGAGGATGACTGTGAGTTTGAGACCAGCCTGAACTGCATAGTGAAACCTTGCTCAGAAAAAGAAAAAAAAAAAAAAAAAAAAAAAAAAAAAAAATCAGAGTCCTTTGCCAAATCTGAGGATTTACTGTTATTTTCCTCTAAGACTCCAGAGATGCATACCCTCACATAAAACTGTCTCCACACAGAGAAGTGCAGGGAGGGAAGGTCAGTGAAAATTGTGTGCTTAGCTTGCTTGGAGGTCTGGGCTCTATTCCTAGTTCCACACTGACACTTCTAAAACTGACCTGCAGGCTGCACCAACCAGTCCAGGAGGACAGAGTGCACCCCTGGAGCAGCCAGCCCCTAAACAGACCATACTTGGTTAGTAACTTAACTGCCAGCATCCCTTATTGTTCCCAATCCAAGCAGGGGAAGCCCAGTCCCCACCAGCCTCTGGACTCCCTCGAGCGATGGCTCACCTGACTCTGACACTTTCGCTTTGCTGCCCACCCTGGAGCCCCTACAGAAAGCAAAGAGCAAAGGCTGTGGTGGCAGCCCTGAACTGGCAGTGGTGGGTCTGGTGTCATTTTTGCCCATCCTCCCCAGGGCCAGTGCTGGCCTCATGTGCAGCCTGGTGGCCATCCTGGGCTGTGAGGTGAGGGTCCAGCCTCAACTTTGTCCCTGGAGATGGCGAGCTGTCCTGGCACCATTTGAAGACTATTCTTTCTCCACAGGATTATCTTTGCAGCCCTGCTTGAAATTTCCCAACAGAAAATGATTACTCTGGAATTTTTAAGACCTATAACTTATTAAGATCCAAGGGTGACAGGAGAAAGTGCCTGCCCAGCTGGGAGCCATGCCAGGACCAGGCACCACCCCCTGCCCTCTGACCTGCCTCCTCCATTGCTGTTCAGTGAGGCTGAAGGGGAAGTAGCCCAAGCCTTTCCCTGTGACCTGGAAGCCTGGGATCCCTTCCATCCCGAGCCAAACCACCTCACAAAACTGGACTGGATGGGTATTCTGCCTCCAGGGAGGAGGATGGTAGGGGTGGTGTTCTTCCTTGGAAGGGTCCTGGCATGTGAGATTCCTCCTATGCTCCCTACTGGAACACAGGGCCCACACTGCTTTTGGAATGAGCCTGTGGTGGCAGGAAGCAGCTTTTTTTTTTTTTTGTGGTACTAGGGATCAAACTCAGGACCTTGTGCTTGCCAGCACTTATTCCACTGAGCTATCTTCTAGCCCCCAGGAAGCAGCTCTTTTGCAATCTCCTAACCCAGAGTTGGGTTTCTGACTCACATACCCTTCATCCATGCCAGGCCTGGCCATCTCGCCAACTCCTGCTGCCTGCCCACCCCCACCAATTCCTTAGATTCTGGGGTCACTGTTCCAAGGCAGCCTGGGTGAGTTGCCAAGTGGACCTGGTCCTGATCGACCAGAAATGCAGGGGTGGGGGAGGAGCCCTCACTGGACCTGGATTTCGTTGACCAACTCTTACACCCTTGGGAAACTTCAGCACCAAATAGGTATGAGGAAGTGAGAAATGACACCATTACATTTTTACCTGTAAATAATTACTATTGTTATATATATATATATATATATATATATATATATATATATATATATATGCTGAGGATGGAACCCAGGGCCTTAGGCATATTGGATAAGCGTTCTATTCTGAACCACACCTCTGGGGACCAGGGGGAGATGGCTCAGTGGAAAAAGCGCTTCCCTGGCAAGTGCAAGTGCCTGAGTTCAGTCCCCGGTTCCGCCAAAAAAAATAAAATAAAATAAATAAAACTGAACCACACCTCTGAAGAGTGCAGAGGTCAGGACTAAACTCAGAGCCTTAGGACTGAGCTACCCGACCTCCAGGTTCTTGAGATGGGCTCTTGCTAAGCTGTTTATGCTGGGCTTCAATTCTCCATTCTGCTGCTTCAGCCTCCCAGAGTGCTGGGATTACAGGTGTACAAGCACCTCAACCAGTGCATTTAAGTATTTATATATAAGTAACAGGACGGTTGAAATTTGCTTCCAAACTCCCAAGGTGGGGTGAGAAATACTCTGCAATTGCAGGGTCTCCCGGGCCATGCAGTGCTGGCTGGACACTGGCCAGCTGCGCCTCAGCCCCACAGCCAGGCTGACTCGAGGGTACTCCTTGCAGCTGGGCAAGGGGTCCAATGGGACCAGCCTGCCCCAAGGACATGCAGAGCTCGCTGGAGTGGGTCACACTACAGATGCAGACCTCTCTATACCATTCCTTTGTCCACAGGCTATCTAAAGGTGTAGCCACACCTCCTTCCCCCGTCCTCCCTTGGGGGTACAGAGGGATCCCCACTGCACCTGCACCACGAGGCAACAGTAGTGTGGAGGAACAGACTTATAGGGTGCCTGGGTCACTCCTTTATTGGACCCATGAAGAGCTGCAGGCCAACACCCATGGGGCTGATGGAGAGCAGTATCCAAGCCCACACAGTTCCCAAGCCTGTTTAGGGAAAATAGGCTGCTTTGGTGGTGGTTTTTAGATGCTAGAGGCTGTTGTGGGGTGACCACTAGCCATGCCAGGGCTCTTATGGAGTGACCACTGGCCATGCTGGGGCTCTTGTTGGGTGACCACTGGCCACACTGGAAGGCAAGTTCTAGAAGACACACTACAGCCCACCACGACCTATGGCTGTGTTTCCCCAGGGAGCCGGGGAGGGGAGGCTGTGGGCATCTGAGGGCCTGGGGGCACCAGCTGGGTAGACAGCAGCAGGCTGTGAGCACTGAGGTTTTGTCTGGCAAAGCAAATTATTAAAGCATCTGGGGGTGTACCCGCAGAGGGCTGGGGGGACCCTACATGCTGGCACTGGTTGGTGATCTGTCATCTATTCCTTTTCCCAGGAGTAGGGGCCGGGGGAGGTGCTACCACTGAAGGTGCTAAAGCTGTGGTCCCTCTCGTGAGAGTAAAGTGCGCGTGCTCACAAGTGTGGCAGGTGGGCAGCTATAGGGGCCACACCCCACCCTGCCTTCCAGGCCCTTCCTCAGAGGAGGTTACCCAAAGAGGTGTTCATGTCTGCAGTAAACCTTGGCCAGAGTAGGACACAGGTCATCCAGCCACTCCCTTTTCTGCAGAGAATGCCTGTTGAGCAGAGGGAGCGGAGGCGGTGAGCCACCCTGAGGGCCGCTCTTGTTCTCTTCCTGAGTGAACGGGCAGTGGGGAGGGGCAAAACTGGGCAAAGGCCCAGCAGGGAGCATAGGGGCAGGCAAGGTCCTGGAGGGTGGGGCAGAGCCTGCTGGACACGGTGTGGGCCTAGGCCAGGAAGGAAAGGAGGCCACACCCTCCCACTGATCTTGAGCCCAGTGCTGGAGCTCTCAGGTGGGCACCCTGATGCCAAAGTGTTTGCGCAGCTGCTCCAGGAACACAAAGGTGAGCACGGTGTGTGGGATCAGACGAATGCCCGCAGGAAAGAGGCCCTGAGCAAAGAATCAGAGAGGGAGATGTGAAGGGCCCAGGAGGGCACAGCCCGCCTCCCCCGATTCCAGCCTCTGGCTGCCTGACCATACCTTGTAAAAGGCCAGTGGTCCCAGCTTGGCTGTCTCCACAGCACAGTGAAAAACTCCCTGGAGACAAAGCGAAGAGATACAGGAAGTGGCTTCTCATTCAGGGGAACAGAGAGACCCCCCATCTGGTACTGACTGGGTACAGTAGGCCTGAGGGCTCTCAGGGGGTTCTGGGTATGAACAGGAGCCCTGATGACATCAACAGGGAACCCCAGAGCTGAGGGCCACCCACTGGCATATAGCCACGCAAGCCCATGATGGTGCACCAATAGGACTGGGAGTTTGAGAATAAAACTGTGACAGTGATAAAAGGGAGTGAGGGAGAGGAGCACTGGGTGTACACGGGGAGACTGTGGTAACTGGGCGAGGCCCAAGGCCAGACTGCAGGACTGCATTCCTCTGCCCAGACAATTTCCACTGAGCACCTTTATCAATGTACAAGGCAAATCCAAAATCCAATTTTTGGGTTTTTTGACTCAGGATCTCACTATGTTGTTCAGGCTGGCTTTGAACGCACTAAAAAGTCCAAGCTGGGCTCCAACTCCGTGCAATTCTCCTGGCTCAGCCTCCTGAGATCTAGGATTACAGCCATGTGCCACCGCACCAGGCAAGAAATAGGGCTTAAAGTGAAGCATGGGTCTCGGAGAGGCACACCCCTTCCTAGCCAAGGGCTCCCCAGCGGCACACAACTGCAAGGGAAGAGTGTGAAGGGAGATAGCTCCACACTTGTGTCTCCATGGGGACTGCTCTGGTCCCCAGGATGAATTGGATGCGAGGGCTGCAAGCGAGGACCCAGCAGTGGCTAACAGGATGCCAGCGTGGCCTTACCCGGTATTCGCCCTTGGAGTTCATCAGGCGGGTTTTCAGCACATCCAGGGGCTGGCACAGGAACGTGGCACAGCCACCCTGAGGACAGGCTTTGTCACAGAGGGGCTATGGCCCTCCCATAAACCCCACCCACAGGCCAGCCCAGAGCAGGGCTCACAGCCCCACACCCACTCTTCAGAGGTGTCCTAAGTGTCCTGGGCCTCGGGGAGAAGGGACACCAGGAAGTGGTATGGCCTGGTGGGCCACTGTCTACTTCTGTGGCCCCTGAGAGGCACTAGCAGGCTCCCACCAGCCTCCTACCGCCTCCTACGCACACCTCACCCCAGGGAACCTCGGTTCCTAAGGCCAGGCACTCACTGCAATGAAGCTGGCAACAAAGTGAGTGAAGATGTTGTCAGACAGGTACCCGGTGGTGAGGACCAGCTGCTTGGCCTGATCGTAGCATGACAGCTGTAGGTAGACAGGAACAGCTCCAGGGAAGCAGGCAGAGGCTCACAGCGACGCCACCCAGCACTGACCAAGCACCCGGCCTCTATTACTGCCACAACTGTGTGTGGGCCAGTCCAGAGGCCCAGACAGGGCAGGACCAGGCCAAGGTCAGATCCACATTGTGGCCACTGCCCACCTGTGCCTACCCAAGGGACAGGCTCCCACACCGACCACCTTACTCTTGGAGCCCTGCTCTGTACAGAGGCCCTACCTGGCCCACGGTGACAAGGGCTCCGCGGCTGGATGCCATGGTTGCACCAGAGAATAACCTCCTCAGGCCCTCTGCAAGGAGAAAGGGGAGGTTGGGTCCCCAGCCCAGCCCCCTTGCCAGGGAAGGGGGGCGCCCACGCAAAATGCCAGCTGCTCTCACCTTCACGGGCCACACGGTACAGGCCATCCAGGGCATGAGCATAGCTGCCAGGGACATAGTGAGCCACATGAGGCTCACCCTGCCCACCAGGGCCAGGGGTCCACCCCCAGCACAGGCCATGTGCTTCTGCAGAAGCATCACAGGGACAGCAGGGGCCCACAAACCCTTTCCCAGCTAGGGGGCTGCCAGCTCAGGATGGTCCTTTCTGCAGGCCAAACGTAGGCCTAGGCCATCTTCTCTCCACGGAGCCCTATAGTTGCCTAGGTGCTTCCTTCATGGAAGGAGGGTCTGAGGGAGCCACAGGAAGAAACAAGACATTGCCTGCCCCCAGGAAAGGGTGAGCTGGCGTAGGTATGGTCAGGCAGAACACCACTAGAGCTGGCACCTGGCACTGCGCAGGGAGGGCCTCAGTCTTGGTTCATCTCATGTGTCCTACTCAGTCTCTGAGGCTCCTCCAACACACTTTCAAACCAACCCAGGAACAGGCCCAGGACTGTCCCTAGGTACTGACAGTGTCCAACCCCTAGCTTGTCCTGGGGGACCCCTGGGAGATACCCTAATACTCCCAGGGCAGCCACCCACAGCATTGGTTCCTGAAAACCACCAGCCTCCCCACCCTCATTCCACATGAGCCCAGGGGCAACATGGTCTGTTGGGGTCCTGGTCACATTAAAGCAGAGCCACTTAGGGGTCCTTCCTGCCAACCCCCCAGCCCAGCCTGCTGCTCACTTGCGCCGCTGATTCACAGGAAGCTTCATGTCATTCTGCATCCTGAAACAGAAGGGCGGCTGCTGGACACACGCCGTTCACGGACCCAAGGGTAGCAGGAAGGCTCACCAAGTCCGCTTGTTCGAGGACAGACACGCTGTAGGCTTTCACCCCCACCCTGCCTGCAGTTGAGAAAGCCCCTGGCCTTTGGGGATGGGGGTACACACAAACCTGACATTGACCAAGTCTGCAGGGGTCCCCACGAATCCTCCAGTTAAACCTGTGGTGACAAAAGTGTCAGGCCCAAATAACTCCTAATGCCTGGCCCCTGGCCCCTGACCATCCTGCTCCACCCCTCCTGCCCAGTGCTTACCGCTGAGGCCTCCTATCAGCACCTTGCTGTAGAAGGGGACAGGCCCTGAGGTGCCCTTGGTCAAGTGGTCCCGCACACTCTCATAGATAGCGAACCGCGTCAGGGAATAGGTCATCTGGGGAGAAGGGACCTGACTCAGGGATGGACATACCCCAGCCCGGCTCACAGCACCATCACCATTCAATCACCCTGGGGGATGGGGCACACAGACAGGCCGCCCAAGACCATGTGGCTACCAAGTGGCTGGGCCAACTCCCAAACCCCAGGCTGCCTGGTCTTCTTCTCCCACTTCTCTCAAACTCAGTTTCCCCATCCGTAAGTGGAGGTTTTGGGCCCAGCCGTAATAAAGCTGGCACTGTGGAAGCTGCCCCACACCTAGTCTGGGGTTCTTAGTTCTGTAGGAAGGAAAAGGAGAAAGAAAAAGCTTAACTCTTTCAGATGCCCACTGCAGGTTGGGGGCTTGGATGGCCCATTTCAAGGCAGGAAAAGAGAAGATTTCTTTGGGATGGGAGGTCCAGAAGGGAGGTCTAGGCTGACAGCTCACCTGTCTGCACAGTGAAGCGCTCAGGCCATTGTAGAGAGCCCAGATGCCATCAGTGCGCACCACCTGCAGCGCCATGCCGGTCATGCGCAACTTCACTTCCTGCTGCGTTTGCAGATGCACCTGTGGCGAGGGGTAGGTGGCTTTTGCAAAGGTGGTCTCTGCCTCCCAGGCTCCAAGCCAGTAGACAGCAGGAGGCAGTGCAGATGCTGCCTGGAGCCCCCATGCCTCTCTGCTGAGACTTCCCTAGAACTGGCTGACTGAGGTCCCACAATCACCCATGGGCTCAGGACCACCTAGAGGTGGGGACACTGATATGGAACAGTGAAGAGGCTCCTCAGGACCCCTGACCAGGGACTCTGTCCAACCTAGGATCTGTTCCCAATGTGGTTTTACAACAGTGATAATCCCTGCTCACTGCCCCACCCCCAACCTTCTTCCCTGGCAACCCATGGCTCTGTGCAGAAGAGGGAGACAGGGGACAGCAAAGATCACAGGCAGGCATCCAGGCCTGGGATCGCAGATCCACCCCAGTCCTGGCAAGAGGCCCCAGGAAGCTGTCCTCAGTTGAATGCACAGTCCTCTCACGCTGCCCAGGGAAGACAGGGCCTGGGACAATAGCGATGGGTGGGACAGACACTGCTATCTTCTCATTGTGTGAGCTGTGCAGGACAGAGATGTGGGGCCTGGCCAGAGTAGCCACATGGGCAGCAGCTCCTGTCCCTGTGAAGCATGCATGACCATGAGGACTAAGGCAGGACATGCGGCCACTCGGACAGATCAAGGAACTTCAAAACAAGTTTTTAATGGGTCATCTCCTGAGGCCCTGGTGAGCAGCAATTAGAGAAAAATCCCTGGCCAATCTTCCCCGAGGCTGGGCACTGCCACTGTCTGCCCAACACCGTGGACACCCTGACTGCTGCTCAGTGTTCTACAGCAAGAAAATGTCTGGTGGGAGGAGAGACAGTAACACCCAAAGGGACCTCAGATTATAGGGTGTGGACACTCTGAGGGTCCATTGGGAGGCTCCAGGGCCCATGCTCGCTCATGCAGCAACAACAGCTGGCAGTGGGACTGAAGAGTTAAGAAAAGCAGCCTGGAGGGGAGGGCTGCCCTTTCCCCAAACCCAGCCACACTATCCTGCTCACTGTGACTTTACCTCTGTAGTGGCAGTCGCCTTCTGGCCCATCAGCTGTACCTGAGCAGGCCTCTCCTAGGAGAGGTGAGGTCCTGTCCTCCACATGTACCAGATGGCCAGTGCTTTTACTAATCAAAAAAGCCACCTGTTTAAAAAAAAATACCTGAGAGCTAGGGAGATAGTTCAGTGGTCCAAGTGCCTGCCTGGCAAATGCAAGGACTGGGGTTTGATCCCTCGTACTGCATGCCATCTCCTGTACCAAATGTATAAATGATAAAAAACAAACAAACCAACCCAAAACACCCACCACAGGAAAAAGGATGGGTACAGCTCCAAAACTGGCTCAACAGCTCGGGCCACAAGTGCTAATCCCAGGCAGTCCTGGGTGGGGGTGAGGAAAAGGGGAGAAGATGGGCTGAGCCCTGCCCACAGGCCACTCCATGACCACAGGGCACGCCTCCTAGCAGACTGGGTAAAGCCTAGGTCCTTTCTTCTTTGTTCTCTGTGATGAGGCAGGGTCAGAAAACAATGTGCCTTGGCCCTGGACTGGCCTCCGGAACAAGGAGATCTCTGTTTTATTTTGTTCCAAACACACTTTTCTTAAAGAAATGAAATTTAAAGTGCATGTATGCTTCCTGGGGCCACATGCATGCAGGGTCTGCTAGCTTCTCACCGAGGCGGGGCTGCTCCCCAAACCTCTCCTGGCCTCTAGCTCCCATTTCGCGGGGTGGGCTTTTCCTCTCCCCTCCATAGCCTCCCTGGGTTATCTAGCAGCATGCAGGAGGTCCCCAGGAACCAACATCTGTGCAACCTCACAGACAGGCCACCACTTTTTAACCAGGCAGAGGGGGCGTGGGATATGGGAGGAGGGAGGAATGGCTCAGAGGCCAAGTTCATAGACAATATGAAAGCGCAGAGCTGGGGCCACATCTGCCAAGAGCTGGGGAGCAAGGCTGCCCACGCGGCCCGGCCACCTCCTGCGGAGGTCACCGGCAGAATGAACCGCTCTCCCTCCTACTCTGGGCTTCCCGGCGGGCGCCACAAGAGGCGCCGCAGGCGCAAGGCCCTCGCGACACAGCAGGACGACCTCGGTCCGTGCAGGCGTGGGCGTCACTGGCGCCTCCACCCCGCGGCCGGCTGCGGCAATCACTGGGTGCGCAACCGGGCGCGGCGCAACTGTGTCCTGACTGCGCCAGGCCCAATCCTGGTCCTGGCTCGGCCTCACCTTAAGCAGGTCTAGCGGGTGAGTGCAGCAGGCTGCCCCGCAGGAGGCCAGTCCCCCGAAGTACCAGCGTGACACGCGCGCTTCCGCTGCCATGGCCCCAGGGACAGACGCCGACCCTCTTCACCCCGGCTCGAAGTCGACTTCAGTCGGACGACTGGATTGAGACCCCAGTCGCCGGCAGAGCAGGTTCAAAGTGCCACGGTGCGCCCGCGCCCAGCGCAGCCAATGCGCCCGCGCGGCCAGGGGGCGGGCCGGCGAGTCCACGCCCCCAAAAAACCCTTGCCGCAGGGCCCCGCCCCCGAGGAAAGCAGGCCCTATGTCTTGAAACAGCTTGGCCGGGTACGGAGCTGGCCTTCCGGACCTGACTAAAGGACCACCTCTACCCTCAAGATCCTGGCCTAGGACTCTTCTCTGGAGGTCATAGAAGGTCACCCACTCCCAGAAGGTCAGGTCTCTGCCAGCACCCCAGTCCTAGCCACGACCTCAACTTGCAGGCTGGCTCAGGGGTCATGAGTGTTACTACAGGGAGAACACAAGCTGCGGGAGTAGACCTCTGCCCCCAACCCCGCTGGGCCCAGCTGTGGAGGGACAAAACGTTCATGGGGCCAGCTTGCCGATTAAATAAAAACTAGGGGCAAAAGGCAGCTGGTTAAGAGTAGTTGCAACCTGCACACACGTGCCCAGACATCCTGGGAGCACCTGGCCAGCTGCAGCTCAGCTCTGCAGGCAGTGGAGCAGCCACCCAGGGCAGCCAGGAGGTGGGCTCAGGCCTCTAGGAAGCACTTGAATATGCCCAGCCCCAGGTGAACCTGCCCCTCACTCTGCTTCCACTTCCTAACTGGCAGTGAAGAAGCCAGCTGTGCTCCGTCCTGGCTGCACCTGCATTTATTTTATTTTATTTATTTATTTTTAAAATTTGTATATTTTAGGGAAGGGTCTACATGGTGTTCAGGGTCTCACTACTAGATCGGACTCGCAGTGATTTGCCTGTTTACAGCCTCCCAAGAGCTGGGATTACAGGTGTGCGCCACCACTCCCAGTCTCAATTGGCATCTCAATGCACCCTGGGGGCAGGGCTGGCACAGCAGTCCCAGGGGATCAAATGCCAGGCCCCTGCGCCTGCTTGCAGGTGCTTTAATCCGCTGAGCTATTTGGCCCGCCCAGCAAGTCTATCTTCAGAATCCCAAGTGGCTCTGGTCCTGCACTGTCAACCCAAGGGCTGGGATGTGGGGTTGGTGCCCGAGCCCAGAAGTGCCCCTGGGCCACTGTCTTGTCTGGTGTCTCAGTAGTGTCATACATGCAGACAGCTTCATCTGGAGACTGACAAAGGTATGAGGTGGACAGAGCCAGGCATAGGAGAAAGCCCAAAGCAATGAGAGAAACATGGCCAAGGGACTCGAGAGATTAGAGGTCACAGACTCAAGTAGGCAGACCCAACGGCCAGGATGCAGAATTGGCCTCTGACCTCAATCAGGGTCTCCTAAACTTCCTCCTGATCTAGTCAGGGTACTTAGCTGTGCCTGTGGCTATTTGTGCTGCATTTGGTGTAAAACCAAACTGTCCACCAAGTGCAAGATTACGTTATGACACTGGAAGTAACAACTGTGTGTGGTGGCATGTTCCTACAATCCCAGCATGTGGGAGGCTGAGACAGCAGGACTGCTACACATTTGAGGCCAGTCTGAGCTACACAGTAAGTTCAATGCCAGCTTCAACTACATAGCACAGTATCAAGACCCTGGCTCACTAAAAAAAAAAGGGGGGGGGGAAGGTGACAAGGTGACAGAAACCCTGGGTAAGTGGATCTAGAGGACCATGCCACAATGTCCATCAGTGTGACAGCCCAGGGTGGAAGGGTCTAGGAACCTGTTGCTAGCAGGAAGACCCCATCCAAGGGAGAAGGCCTATAGCACACAGAACAAGGTCCAGATAGGTGGGGATGGGCAGGCCAGGGAGAGAACAAGAATTGAGGTAAAGAGGGGCCGGGAATTTCACTCAGTAGAATAAGTGTTTCCTTGGCAAGTGCAAGGGCCTGATTAAAAAAAAGAATTGAGGTAAAGGGACCAGGTGGGAAAGCAGGAAGCTTTCTACCAGCTGAGCTATGTCTCCAGCCCACGGAATCCGCACAGCTCCCTAAGATACCCAAGATGGTATAGGAGTGCCCGCCGCCACCAAGTTGCAGATGTGAGGAGTGGCTGCCCTATGCACCTCCTACCAGTGAGGTGGAGTGAGGCCAACCCCATGACCTGCAGTCACCCCCCACACCAAGCAGCCCCCTCACAAGTCCACGTGGCCATGCAAGCTTTCCTGGGCATGAGGCCATCATCCTACGATTATACGTAGCTCCTGAGCTCTGAGAACAAGGGATTTGAGGCCAGGGCAGGGAGGAGGGCTGGCTAGGCTGGGGTTGTGCCCAAGCTCCAGGGCACCTCTCTGCTGAGGTAGAGGTGCTGCAGTGTACTGAAGGAGAATCATTAACTAGGGGAATTGAATAGGGCAGCGGTCCTCTGGAGGGGCCTTGCAGGTGTGCTGGCTTCTCAAACACCAGTCAGCCAACTTCCCCAGGGAGTCCTGCTCAGTAGGCAGCACCCTGGAGACACAGTGCCCCCTTGTGGCCTCTCAGAACGGACGGGGACTGTCCTTCCACCTGGGAGAGGACACCCATCATGTTCCCAGGGGCTCTCAAGCACACTGCAGCCTCCTGGGAACATAGCCCCTAGCCGTGCATGCTGGGGCTTTGTTTGCTGAGGAAGACATGGCAACACCCCTGCCAGGCTGCAAGGGGACAGGGGTTCAAGTCAGATGGCATCTGTACCAAGGTTGCCCAGGCACAGCTGGCTGCCCTGTGGAGCTGATTCCATTTCAAGCTTAGCAGAGACACTATGGAGCCCACACCTACAAGTCCTTGCTGCCACACTACTTAGGTCCCCTCTTGCAGCAGGCATTCTGGGATCATGGGGGCAGCTCCCAGACATCAGAGCCGGGATTGTACTTGTGGCTAGCCTGAGTGGTCCATCAATACAGCTTTTTAAGTTACTTCAACAAAGCATGCTGGGTGTGATGGTGCACACCTGTAATCCCTGTACTAGAGAGGCTGAGGCCAGCCTGGGCTACCACAGTTCAGGGCTAGCCTGAACTGCAAAGTGAGATCATGTCTTAAAAACTTAAATAGAAGGGCCCAGGGAGATATAGCTCAGTAGAATAAGCACTTGCCTGGCAAGCGCAGGGTCCTGAATTCAATTCCAGACATCACACACACAAAACAAGAAAAGCTAAATAGAGTCCAGGTGTGGTGGCACATGCCATCTCAGTGGCTGGCTCAGCCACCTGGGGGTGGGACCAATGCAACATGTGCTGCTGGGGATCAAACCCTGGTCTCTGCGTTTGCCAGGCAGGCACTTAGTCTACTGAGCTATCTCATTGGCCCAATAAATACATTTAGGGCCAGCCAGATAGCTCAGTGACTAGTGCCTGCTTAGGCAGGGCGCAGGGACCAGGGTTTGATTCCTGGCACAAGCAATGCCAGCCCCATCCCTACAGCACGCTGAGATGGCGATTGAGAATGGGCATGGTGGCACACTCCTCTTAATCCCAGCATTGGTAGACTAAAAACAGGAGGATCACTACAAGTCTGATCTGTGTAGTGAGACCCTGTACTAAATACATACAAAAAAAAAAAAAAAAAAAAATTAAATTAAGTAAAGTAAATGTTAGTGGCCCCCAGGAAGAAAAGAAAATGCCAACAGCATTTTACTGGCACATTCCAGTAATTCCTGTACTCTTTGAGACTGAAGCAGGACGACTGCAAGTTCAAATTCAGTCCAGAAAACTTAATGAAGCCTGCTTAAAAAAAAAAAAAAAGGACCGGGGAGATGACTCAGTAGAATAAGCGCTTGCCTGGCAAGTGCAAGGGTCTGAGTTCAATCCCCGGTTCCGCAAAAAGGAAAAAAAAAAAAAAAAAAAAGTAGGCAAACTCAAAGAAAAACTGCAGCTCCCCCACTTGCTGCCTCATAGTAGGTCCTGCTGCACCTTGAAGGATACCACCAGCTGTGGTGTCCCAAGACAGGGCCCTGCACATAGGAACTTGGAGAATGTCTACAGATCCTCAGCTGGACCAATGGAGGGGTGTCAAGGGGTAAGACCAAGCCCAGGAAGGCCCAGGTCACACCACCACACAACAACAGAGTTGCACACACCAGCCTCAACAGTGTATTTTCTCAGCAGCCACAAAATGAGCGTCGTTCACTGGCGTGCTCTGCAAGGGCTTGCAGGGCTCTGTACAAGCTGTGACTGCCCTCCTTCCCCATCACAGTAGGGTCGTCCTGCCCTTCCTGGATGGACTTGGCCTCTAGCGCCAGTCACTCCAGCCCTCCAGCTCCGTTTGGAGCCTGATGCTGGGAGTGGAGTGGGCCGTGCAGGTGGGCAAGGCCTCACCCAGGTCCCAGGGACTCCAGTCCATAAGTCCTCCGCATGGGGTGGGGCTACTCTAGAACCACAGTGCCGCCCACTGCTTCCAGGGCCGCCTTGATCTTCTCAGCCTCGGCTTTAGCGACGTTGGCTTTGATTTCCTGGGGTAGGGACTCCACCAGCTTCTTGGCCTGCCAGAGAAAGCAAAATCAGAAGAGCGCTCCTGGCTGTCCCAACTGAGCCCTGGCTGCCAGTGCCAGCACCTGAGCACGCAGCGTATACCTGTGGGGAGGGGCCAGGCCCAGTGCCCACCTGGACGAGGTTGATGCCCTGGATATAGTTCTTGATCTCCTTGATCAGCTTCACTTTGTCCACAGGCTTTGCTTCTGTTAGGCGCACAGTGAAATGCGTCTGCTCTTTCTGTTTGGGCAGCTCCTCTTCTTCTGCCACCTTGGGGCGCAGGAAAGTGGCACAGGAGAAAGGACAAGTGAAGCCAGCACACTCACTGTTGGGCTGCCCTGCTGTGATGCACAGCAGGGTTATATCTGTCCCTAGTGTCTGCTCAGCGAAGCCTGGGCTGCAGGGGACAGTCCCTGTGGCCAACCCTGAGACCTGTAAGTGCATGTCTCCCACAAACACCAGACAGAGTTCAGACCTGGCTCCTTTTCCTCATCTGCTCAGAACTCTCTTCCATCAACTCTACCTCTCTTACCCCCTAAAAAGTGGGGTTTTTTTTTTGGGGGGGGGCCTGGCTCAGGCTGCCTTACGGGTGGGTCTGGCAAGGGGATTGAACCGCGGTATCCAGCCTGACTGCGTTTGCATAAGCAGGTGCTTAAACAACTGAGCTAACTGGCAGGCCGCCCCCTAAAAAGTTATAAAACAGAGAAGAGCAATACAAAAGTACTTTATTTCTGAAACAGTTACAGGAAAGCAGTGCTACTTAGTCCTCAGAGACGTACAAGGGCATGCATGTCACTGATAAACACCCCATCTCTCTTTTTTGAGACAGGGGTCCAACTAGGTTGGCAGCTTGGTTAAGAGATCTTTCTGCTTCAGCTTCCCCAGTGCCAGGATTACAGGTGCACACCACTGCATCTGCTTCTGAGAACAAAGCAACTGCCACCAGACAGATGACGATGCAGTGAGATCCAGGGCGACCACGTGTCTATGTCTGTATGTGTGGGACATACGCCTACACATCCCACGGTCTGATGGTTTGGGCATGGTGCCTATTTGTCCGGGTTTTCTTTTTGCTATGTAACCCACTCTGGTCTTGAACTCACAATTCTGCCGCCTCAGCTTTCTGAGTGTTAGTATTACAGGCATGCTCAACCTCCTGCTAGTAATTAGCTGCACCCCATTCATTCACTCTAGACAATGGATCGCAGTGATCCTTACCCTGGTTCCAAGTGTTGAGCCTGAATGTAGTCAATCCTGGTATACGCATGTGTGTGTTTTGGGGTGCTGGAAATGAACCCAAGGCCTGGTTCACACTAGGCAGGGAGGGACCCCCACTGAGCTACACCCTCGCTCAAGTGATGGCAAATCATTTAGAGCTGTCAATGATAATAAACAGGCGCTATGGCATGTGTGCCATAGGTTTGCCGCCACTCCCCTAATCAGCGTTAAAATAACCTTCCAGCTGGGCGTGGCTGCACAAGCCTGTAATTTCAGTACTGAAGAGGCTGAGGCAGGAGGGTTGCCATGAGTTTGAGGCCAGCCTGGGTTACATTGCGAGTTCAAGGCCATTCTGAACAACAACACATCAAGACCTCATCTCAAAATACCCACAAAACAAAGAAACACCAAAAACAAACAACCATCTTCCGTTTCAGAAAGGAGGGCGTTGGGGCCGGGAGATGGCTCAGTAGGCCAAGTGCTTGACTGGCAAACACAAGGATCTGAGTTCAATCCCCAGTTCCGCCAAAAAAAAAGGAGGGAGTACCCATTCCCAGGATAGAGTGTCCCACAGGACTTTGGATTCCTCTGCAGGGAAAAGGGGTGGAGCAGGGACTCAGACAAAATACTTGCTCCTAAGCAGACAATCAAACACAACATGCACCTTCAAGTTGGCTGGGTTTCTTTTAGACACCCAAACTGGCTCCCAGCCTGACAGGAGATGGAGCAGCCCATTGCCTCCCCCTTGCTGCTTTTGGCCCCATCTTAAAATAAAGACATGCTGTGGCTTGAGAGCACCTGTGGCTGCTAGCTCCTCTGCTAGGAAACCTTACTTTATTCTTCAACTTCCTCCACTCCACCTCCTTATTGAGGCTTTCCTTGAAATTTTAACCCTCTCTTCAACTTAAAATCTACTTCCTGGGGCTGGTGAGATGGCTCAGTGGTCTAAAGCACCTACTTGGAACAAGCTTGGCAAAGCACAGGGACCGCGGTTCAATCCCCCAGCACCATATGCCAGCCAGCCCTGCCCCCTGGTGGGCTGAGCTGGCCACACACACACACACACACACACACACACACTAAATAAATGTTTAAAAAAAAAATTTAAAAAAAAAAACCTACTTCCTACTTTTCTCATGACATTGTGTTGGATGCAACTTCCATCCCTTTTCAGCTTACTGTTTCCCTCCATTAGCAACATGCTTTGCATATGCCTGGCAAGGAGGTTCCTGGGGCTGCAGGGAGCCCACAATGGGATATGCAGCTGTAGGACCCAAGAAAAGGACAGGAGGAATGGGTCACATCATTGACCCAGAGATAAAGTGGGCACACAGAAACACCTCTTTCTACCCAGGGACCCGGCCGGGATTACCTCAGGGGTTGCTGCAGCAGGGACAGCACCAGGCATCATGCTACCCATCGACATGAGACCAACATCTTGGATCTTCAATGTTTTCTGTGGGGATAGAGAAGTCTCAGTACATGGCTGTCAGACCTCAAAAAGAATTCATGGAGAGACAAGCGTGGTTCCATCCTCACACTTATGAAGTCACAGCAGCCCCCGGCTCATGCCAATCCCTGTTTAGGCCAACCTCTCCTCATTACCTTCAAGAGTTCATTGAGGTCTGAGATCTCCAGGAGCGTAAGGCTGGCGATGTCCTGGACCAGTTGTTGGATCTTGGGGGGGTATTCTTTGGGGGCATTATCCAAGGGCGCGCTCGCAAGTGCCTCACCCTTTCGATGACTGGTGCTCCTCAGCTGCCGTGCAGCACAGAGACCTGGCACCTGCTGCCTGGTCCCCCAGAAATAGCGGTCAGCCTTGCAAGGTAGAAGGGGCGCAGGTCCCAAAAGGCCCAAGCGCTCCCTCTATCACTGCCAGGGCGGGAAACCACCTCATTCCCGGACCCAGCCAGGGCTAACAGACTACTTTAAATTCTTCAAAGACCCTCAGGAGTGCACGTAATTACGTGCAGTAATTCTACTCCAAACGGCAGGTAGAGCGAACTCATTAAAGCAGTGTGGACTATGAAGTCAGACGACTTTCCAAACGGGGGCCCTGTGGCCGCGCTACCGCCTGCATGGATGGCACACTGTGGCAAGGAGCCTGCCCCTCGCTGGTACCGAATCCCCAAGGTCGCCCGGGCCGAGCGGCCTTGCACACGTCTGGCTGGGCCCAGAAGGGTGGCCGTGCGTCCGCCACCCTCTCTGCTCTGACCTACTCCAGTGCACTGGCCCATTCTGGCGCCCAGAACCCCGGCGGTACCTGACGAGGCAAAGCGCGGCGCCCCGGAGCCCGAAGCCTGGGCCCCACAGGCGGCAAGCGGCCGCCGGTAGCATCTCTCTACCGGAGGGAAGGTCACACGCGGCTCGGCGCGGAGGGGACGCTCTAGCCGCAAGGAAGAGGTCCAGACTGGCTGCTCTAGCCTCGAGACCTCCAGGCATTCGAGCTGGGGAGGGCCGCTCTATCCGCCAAGGCAGCGGAGCATACGAGTAGAAACCGGTCTCTACCAGCCGCCTGTACTTTCTTGGACTCCAGAGATTACCCATAAACAGGCGCGCCGCGCAGGCGCACATGCAAATATGGCTGACTGGTGTTTTTGCCACTCGGTGACCTAGCCCCCATCCGTTTCCGGGGTTGAGCCTGTTCCTCGCTGGGGAAGTTCTTAGCTCCTTAGGTTTGGCCAGTAGCCCACGATTTCAACAGGTCCTTGACCTAAGAGGTGAGGCTGAGACCTCTCAAATTCACGATTGCCAGGCGCGATGGCTAATCCCAGCTACTCTGGTGGTTGAGTCAGGAAGATCTCAAATTCGAGCCTAGTCTGGATCAGTTTATGTCTCAAACCTCAAAAGACTGGAGTGGGGCCCAGATGCGCCGAGTCAGGTCACATTTTAGACACCCAGAGGCCAGCTCTGGAGCCCACCTGATTAGCGGGCAGTGTGGGGCCGGCCAGAGTGTCCGCAGGGGCCTGCTAAAGACTGGCTTAGCTGTGAGATCTAGCCAAAACTGCCTGCTATGACTCAAATAGCACCACCAAAATCAAGTCCCCATTGTGAGGTATGGAGGTGAAGGTTGGGTGGCAGTCCATTCATGGGATAGTCATCCTGAGTGGGGTGGCTATAAAAAGTCCATTTGACACTGTCTCGGGCACACTTGCGTGCTGTGATACTCTGAAGCTGATGGGATCTGCAGAATCCCCTCCTCAAGACAATTTCAACAGACAAGGGCTCTTGACCTTGGACCTCTTAATCTCCAGAACTCCAAGAAATAAGTTTCTTTCATCTTCTTATGCCAGTAGGAAACACACCAAGACCTTGCCCCACTGTGCAAGGGTCTGGCCTCGGGACCTATACACCACACCCTATGGCCCAAAGCCAGACTGAGTCCCCCTCCAAAGACTCATACACTTTGAAATACATTTTATTATCGCTGTTCTGCACCACAAAGATGACAGCTGAGAAGCAGAGATGCTAGAGATGGCTGAAACCTCCACTCTGCAGTGGACTGTTGACCAGGAGGTCCCTGATGAAGGGCTGGGGCCACATGTCGACACCACAGCTAGCTCCCAGTAAGACAGCAGGCTGAGCTTGCAGGTGGCAACACGCAGGCCTGGACAGTTCCCAAGAAGGTCCTTCCTTCCACCATCCCCCTCCAAGGCCCAGCCCTGGGGACAGTCACAGACCACATCAGGATCAAAGCAGGGAGCCAGTGACATGGAGCCAGCAGGCTGAGGAAGGGGATGAGAGCTGGGACAAAGACCCACTCCTGGCTCACAGAGGGGTACTACAGGGAACAAGGACAAGGGGAGACTAGTTCAGGCAGGTTTGGGTGACTGGTAGTGTTACTCTGGGTAGGTGGGTGTTCCCTGTCCAGCATCAGTCGAAGGAGATGAGTTGGGCTTCGCTGCCTTGTGCTGCCGCTGGAGGCCCTGGCACTGGTGGTTGCTGAGCCACAGGAGCCTGCTGCTGGGGTGGGCCGCCAGAGGGCGCCATCTGTGGGGTGAAGGGGACAGGGATCTCAGCATCCTGCTGTACAGCGTAGGCTCCAGCATTAGCCAGCTCCCATGGCATGGGCTCTCAGGTAAAGTCACTTTTTCCTATCTGTACAAAGTGCTGTTTGTGTCTAGGTCCTAGTTCTATCTTCTGAGAAATGGCCTTGAGTATAAATTTGTCTCCCCCAGGGAACTGGCCTGGGAGGGTCCTCTGGGGGTCAGGACAACATCCTAACCCAGGCTGCCCAAGGCTCAGTCTGGGCAGGACTCACCTGCTGGTACACGGGCTGCTGCCCTGTGATGTAGGGCTGCTGGGGTGGCAGAGATGCATCCTGGCCAGGAAGGGAGGTCATGAGATTCTGTGGAAAGTGAAACAAAGCCTGATCCTCAGAGTTCTGTGTCTTCCAGGACAGTCTTGAAGAGGAGGGCTGTTGTAAGCAGGCTCTCACCTGCATGCTGTAGGGCTGGTAGCCCAGGGAAACTGACTGGCTGCCCACGTAGCCTATGGTGCCGGATGGTGGAGGCTGAGAAATGGCTGGGAGGCTCTGTGGGGCCTGGGAAGCCACGTTCTGTGGAGGGAAGTGGTGATGTGGGGACCAGGTAGGGGCATGGCCTGGGCAGGAGGGGAGTATGTGGGCATTTACCTGGTAGCCTGGTGCTGGGCTGGGCTGGTAGGTTGAGTAGGTGGAGCTGGGGGCAGGCCCAGCCTGGGCCTGAGGTGCTGCCTGTGCCCCTGGAGCCCCTGCTGGGTACATATAGGCGCTCACCAGGCTGGGATCTGCCACAGACAAGAATCTGTTTAGCCACAGGGTAGGAGGTAGGAAGGTGCACTTTTTTTTTTTTGCGGTACCAGGGATTGAACTCAGGACCTTGTGCTTGCCAGGTAAAGGGCTGATTCTACTGAGCTATATCCCCGGCCTGGTGTACTTCTTTGAGGTTTTCTTTTTTTTTCTTTTTTGTTTTTTTTGTGGAACCAGGGATTGAACTTCCCTTGCACTTGCCAGGGAAGCGCTTATTCTACTGAGCCATCTCCCCGGCCCCTTTTGAGGTTTTCTTTTTTGTGACTTTTAGCACCAAGTCCATACATGTTTCATACTCTCACAAAAGAACAAAAAAGCTGGCAAGGATGGGAGGTGGATTGTAAGTGGAATGAAGTCAGAACAAATGAGCTGAACTATTTGAAAGGACCGGTAGTCACTGAAGGGGCTTGGGCTAGCTGGCCACAGAGACTCCTGAGCTGTACCTGGACTCCATGATCTCAGGCCAAACAGACTGCAGACCACATCAAACCCTGGCTGGGGCCCTTCCTACAGCAGCCCAGCTCAGCACTCATGAAGTGACATTCTGCTAAGCTAAAAAACGAGAGTAAGAAGGTCCACAAATACATTACCTGCTGTGGGACCAGGCACACTGGAGTAGGGGCCAGTGGCTGGGGCTGGTTGGCTCATGTACATGCTGTGCATAGGGGAGCCTTCCACAGAGCCTGCTGGGCTGAAGGTGCCGGGGAAGCTGGTCGGGCCTGAAGGCTGGTAGAGCACACCCCCAGCTGTGGGCATGGCCTGGAGCTGAGGACAGAAAAGTTAGTAAGCTGGATTCAGAGACACTTACCTGTCATCTCAGCTCTGCTGCAGGTCCCAGCAGGAAAGCAACAAGGCCATCTTGCCTGACTTAAATTCAGCAAGGCCCTGGGTTTCAAACAACAAAGCCAGACATGGTGGCATCCGCCTGTAATCCCAGCATTTGGGAGGCTAAGGTGGGGGATGACTGTGAGTTCAAGGCCAGCCTGAACTACAAATCAAGATCCTGTCTTGAAAAAACTAAACAAAAAGGGGGGAAAGGAGAGCTTGGGATATAGCTATGGTGGAGCATTCCTGGGTTTGATCTCTACTACCATAAAGTAAACAAGAGTAGACGGCAGAGAGACAAGTTCTTGGAGGACAAGGGAGGGAGGGAAGCATGTACCTGGGCATAGGGCAGGGGAAAGGCAGGCATCTGGGCTCGCATCTGGACAGTCTGCTTCTGCTGCTCCAGGCGCATCTGCCTCTCTTTCTCCTGCTCCTGAAGGCGCTGGATGGCCAGTTGCCTCTGCACCTCCAGGTACTCCTGAGCCAAATGGGAAGGTGATGGTCAGGGTCAGGTGGAGACCATGCAGCCCTTGCAGACAGGTTTAGTGTGCTGGGCCAGCATCACACCTGCTTCTTCTGCCGCATAATCTCCAGCTTCTGAGCTAGTTGGATCTGGCGCTGGCGCTCGGCCTCCTCAGCTGCCCGGCGCAGCTTCTCCCGGTGCTCTTCTCGCAGGGCGCTCAGTGCCCCCCGCGCATCACGGATCTGTGCCAGCTTGTCCTGCAGCCCCTCATAGTACACTGTGGGCACAGAGAAGGGCAGCCCTGGCCATTCTAGTACAGACAGGGGCAGTGGCAGGGGTGGCAGGGCTGAGCCAGTGAGATCCTCTAGGGGTACCCGTAGCCTCAGTAAGGGCCAGGCAAGGGGACCCAGCTCCTTGGGGCTAGGTCCTATGATAGGAACAGCCAGGACCAAGGACCTAAAGGTACTCATAGCACCCCACCATCTGCAGGAGCCAAGGGCCCCTGGGCACTTACGCCTGCGCTCATCCAGTTGGTTGAGCAGCTCAAGCAGCTGCGGGTGCATGCTGTTGATGGACTGGAAGAGTGAGAGCACAGCTGAGTCGTTGGTGATGCTGCGGCCCCGCATGTGGTTGCTCTTCATGCGGTTGACAAAGGTGGTGACGGCATTCTGCAGGGCCTTCAGGAACTGCTCATGGTTTTCCTCTGACTCTCCGTTCTGGTACTGCTGCAGGGACACAAAGGGAATGGCCAAACAGCCTCTCCCAGGCCAGTGATTACCCAGTCTGCCAGCCTGAGCAGCCCTCATGCCTACTGTTCACAAAGTCTGGAGTAAAACAGTCTACACACAAAGAAATGAGCACTCTTGTCCATAGGCACAGGGACAGCTAGGATGGACCAGACTGAGAACTCTTTGCCTTGGTGACACAAGTCTGGTCTGATGGGACAAACCCAGAAGTCCAGAAGTAGGATTCATCTGGGTGGATCTGGACTGCCTAGGAACATTGGGATCCAAAGCCATATCCAGAGCAGCTAGACCTCAGACCACAGCCCCACACAGCCAAGTTTAGTCATGAGGAGCCGCAATGGGCCCAGCCTCCCTCACTCCAGCCTCTAGCAGTGCTTCCTCAAGCCCCAACAGAAAGCTGCATCCTACCTCACTAAAGGGGGTGCTGGAAGAGGTTACAGGCTGAGTGTCTGTCTCTGGGACGGGACCCTGGAAGAGAGTAGAGGGTCAGGGGGCCTCCTGCCTGGCCTGGTTCTGCCCCCAGGGAGCAGGGACCGGGGCACACAGGGCCTCACCTCCACCACACTGGCAGGGACCACATGCCCCTCCCCAGGCTGTGCAGCCACTTCTGTTAGGGGTGCCGGTGCAGATGGTGTGGGGC